AGGAATGCCACTCTTCTTCCAAAAGACATCCCATTCGAGCTTTTTGTCTCTCGTTTGCATGTGCTGCATGATTATTTCCTTTCTTTGGCTGAGCATCACAGGCAGCTGAGTATTGTCACCAAGCTATGTGGAAACCACGCGGAAGGGCTTCTCTGTTGGAGCAAACAACGTTTTCCCCTGTCTTGTCTACTTACTCTCTTCTCTTCTGCCACTTTGTAGCTGTTTCCCTTGACAAGCCGAGTCCGCTGACCGAGGGGCAGTCGCGTCACCGTTCCAGTGCATCAGGCATGAAGTCTACCGTGCCCGTGGTCAAGATGACACCTCTGTCCTTTATCCCTGGGGCAAAAATAACCAAATATCTTGGAATAATCAACATGTTTTTTATACGAGAAACCACTTCTTTGAGGGAGGTGAGCTTGCTCTATTTGTGTTTTTATAAATAGCACTATGGATTTGGGGAGGTCTGGGGACTCAGATAAAGAGGTTCAGAATGAACAGGGAAAATCAGGGCTGTACATTTGACTTGGAAAATAGCCATTTAACCTGTTTCAGCTGCACAGACCCATTATTGTAGGTGCAGTCAAAAATACAGTTTCGTGCAACTCTGTTTTCTTCTCAAGTCCAGCTCTTAGCAACTCTGTGGAAAGCCCTCAGGAAATCCCCTTCCCGTGCTATTTGCACTCACTAACTCCAGCAGTCTGCTTGAACCTGCTTAGCTTCCGAGATCCGACAAGATCGGGCTAGCCTGGCCCGTCGCATCTTTCCATTGTTGCTCACTGGGTGTCCCTACACAGTCCTGGAAAGAGTTTTGAATACTCTGTGTGGTTTTTAAATGCTCGCATTGCCAGTAAATGCTTGAGTGGAAGCCACCCTGAGCCTGCTTTGCGGGGAGGGCGGGGTATAACTGAGACAAATAAATAAATAAATCAGGCTCTGCTTATTTGGAGGCTGAGACAATGTGTAATTCTCCAAATGGTGCTTAGAGGGCTGTCAGCAGGGCTCTTGTTATGTTGTTTTAGGCCTAGGCGGCTTTAAAAGGGATTAGATAGATTCATGGAGGACAGGTCCATCAGTGGCTACTAGCCATGGGGACTAAAGGGAAACTCCAACATTCAGAGGCAGTTGACCTCGAAATACCAGCGCCAGGAGAAGGGAAGGTCTTGGCCTCTGTGCCCTCTTGGTGGACCTCCAGAGGAACGGATTGGAGACAGGATGCTGGACTAGATGGACCCCTGGTCTTGACCCAGCAGGGCTCCTCTTATGCTTGTGAGAGAGGTGAGACAGGTCTTTCGCGACAAGCACTTCTGAGCCGCCACTTCATTAGAATTTACTTTGAAGCTAGAGAAGAATAAATAAGCAATTGATGGCTTTTCTGGAGCATTTTGGCTAAGCCCCTTTTCTGCCTGTATATTTCTGAACAGGAGGGTGGCGTGAGCGGCTTCTTGCACGCTTTCATCGCCGAAGTGTTTGCAATGGTGCGGGCTCACGTGGCAGCTCTGGGGGGGAACGCCGTTGTCTCGTACATCATGAAGCAGTGCGTCTTCATGGAGAACCCCAACAAAAATCAGGTAAGTGGCGCTTGGAAACCCAGGACTTATTTGTACAGTAACAAGCAGGGATGGAGAAGCCAGGCACCATTTGCAGTTCTTTTTGGCATCTGGCCAAATGTCCCCCTATCTAATCTCTCTCCACAGGCAGTGCCACGAGGCAACCTCAGGGGAAGGCCTCGGCCTCTCTGCCCTGTTGTTGGCCCTCCAGAGGAACTGGTTGGCCACTGTGTGAGCCAGGATGCTGGACTAGGTGGACCACTGGTCTGATCCAGCAGGGCTCTTCTTATGAAGGCCTCGGCCTCTCTGCCCTGCTGTTGGCCCTCCAGAGGAACTGGTTGGCCACTGTGTGAGACAGGATGCTGGACTAGAGGGACCACTGGGCTGATCCAGCAGGGCTCTTCTTATGTTCTTATCAAGGAAGACCTCAGCCTCTCTGCCCTGTTGTTGGCCCTCCAGAGGAACTGGTTGGCCACTGTGAGCCAGGATGCTGGACTAGGTGGACCACTGGTCTGATCCAGCAGGGCTCTTCTTATTAGGATGGATTCTTTTATGGATTAAAAACTGATTAAATGGTAGGAAGCGAAAAGTAGGAATCAATGGCCAGTTCTCACAGTGGAGGGAAATAAGCAGTGGGATCCCACAAGGATCGATATTGGGGCCGATATTATTTAATTTGTTGTCGAAGGCTTTCACAGCCGAAGTTCATTAGCTGCTGTAGATTTTCCGGGCTGTGTGGCCGTGGTCTTGGCATCGTAGAACCTGACGTTTCGCCAGCAGCTGTGACTGGCATCCTCAGAGGTATAACACGGAAAGATGGAGCACTCTCTGTGTCAAGGTGAGAGAGTGCTCCATCTTTCTGTGTTATACCTCTGAGGATGCCAGTCACAGCTGCTGGCGAAACGTCAGGTTCTGCGATGTCAAGACCACGGCCACGCAGCCCGGAAAATCTACAGGAACTATTTAATTTATTCAGCAATGATCTGGAACTAGGGGTGAGTAGTGTAGTGGCCAAGTCTGCAGATGGCATCAAGTCATTCAGGATGATGAAAACCAAGGTCGACTGTGAAGAACTGCAAGAGAATCTCCACGAAGTGGGTGAGTGGGAGACAATGGGGCAGATGAAGTTTGATGTTGGGAAGTGTTGAAGTGATGCATGTTGGGACAAAAAGATCACCGCTTCAAGTATAGGCTGATGGGGTCCGAACTTGCTGAGACTGAGAGGGGAAAAGATCTTGGGGTCCTAGTGGATATAACTCAATGAAAATGTCAACCCAGTGTGCTACAGCAGTGAAAAAGGCAAACTCTGTGTTAGGGATTATTAGGAAAGGGATTGAGACTAAAACAGCCGATATTGTAATGCCCCATATAGATCTATGGTGCGGCCTCATTTGGAATACTGCGCGCAGTTCTGGTCACCGGATCTCCAAAAGGGACACTGCAGAGCTGGGAAAAGTACCGGGGAGGGCAACCAAGATGATGAGGGGGGTTGGAGCACCCTCCCTGTGCGGGAAGGCTGAAGAGCCTGGGGCTTTTCGGTTTGGACGAGAGATGGGTAAGGGGTGACATGATAGAAGTTCATAAAATAATTCATGGAGTGGAGAGAGTTGACAAAGAGAACTTTTGCCTCCTCTCCCCAAATACTAGAACTCGAGGGCATCCAGTGAAGCTGATGGGCAGAAGGTTCAGGACAGACAAAAGGAAATACTACTTTGTGCAGAGAGTGATTAAAATGTGGAATTTGCACTAACCTCTGGGTCCCAGTGCCAGGAGGCAACCTGAGGGGAAGACCTCGGCCTCTCTGCCCTGTTGTTGGCCCTCCAGAAGAACTGGCTGGCCACTGTGTGAGATGGGATGCTGGACTCGGTGGACCACGGGTGTTTCCAGCAGGGCTCTTCTTATGTTCTTAGTAACTTTGCTTTTTAAAATAAGCATTGCACATACAACAGCTTAGTACTTCTCTAACACTGTCAATGTACTTGGCAAAAGAGAGAGGTTTTCTTCTACTTAGGAGCTCACAGAAGACCAATAAACACATAGAGGGCATGCATGCAGTAGGCAATCCCATAGCCCATACGTGTCAAACTCAGGTGGGACCAAAAACACAAGTTCCATTTGAACATCACTCCAAGTCCAGACCATCAATTCAACTTGTTAGGGGGAGGGGATTATTTACTTCCTTTATTCCCCACGTTTCTCCCCGGTTGAGACTAAAGCAGCTTGCACTGTCCTTCTCTTCTCCGTATTTTATCCTCACACCAACCCTGTGAGGTAGGTTAGGCTGAGCGAGAGTGTCTGGGCCAAGCCACCATGGCAGAGTGGGGATGCAGACCTGAGTCTCCCAGAACCTGGTTGGACCCCTCTGCACCGCTCTGACTCTGTAGACTCTCTTCCTGCCTTTCTGTTCAGTTATCTGTTAATCACTTCTGGCATGAATAGGATGATGAAAAATACAAGGAGGCATCGACACGTGTGCCTTGCCAGGTCCCAGAAACCTCAACAGCAGGGAGTGGGGAAGTGTTGGGGCTTCCCTGCCAACAGAATGTCGCAGCTCGAGTTTTGGAAAAAGGGTGGCTACATGACAAGGAAATTCCTTTCTTGAATCCCCAGCAAGAAGTGGTTCTCACTTCTGCATATATATTTTTTGCATTAGTTTTTTTTTTTGGGGGGGGGGGACCTTTCGAATGCTGTGGCTTGGATCCACACAAAGTTGTGCAGAATGGAACTTTCCACCCCTAGAAGAAGAAGAGATTGGATTTATACCCCGCCCTTCACTTGGAGTCTCAGAGCGGCTTACAAACTCCTTCCCCTTCCCCTCCCCACAACAGACACCCTGTGAGGTCGGTGGGGCTGAGAGAGCTCTGACAGAAACTGCTCTTTTCAAGGACAGCTCTGACAAAACTATGGCTTGCCCAAGGTCATCCAGCAGCTGCGAGTGGAGGAGTGGGGAATCAAACCCGGTTCTCTCGGATTAGAGTCTGCGCACTTAACCACTGCACCAAACTGGCACCCTACTTCTCCCACTGCAGCCCACTGGTCTCCATGAAATGCTACTGCTCAGGGCCGGGGGGAGGAATCACATGGGGGGGGTTCTGCAGCAGGGGGGCGGAAACCACGCAAGTTGCCAATTGAGTTTGGATCCAAAGCTGCGTACAGTTCTGTGCATCCCAGTGCAATGAGGATGCGTGTAGCCCTTTGGTAGTCTTTGTCAGTTTCCAAAGGGAGCAAAGGGACAATAGTGGAGGGAAAGACTTGCGCATCTTCAGAGCGGGCAAAAAACAGGTGGGATGGGGGGGGGAGTGTTGTAAACAGTCCTCAGGTGTGTAAGCATGGCGGAAGCTGGATGGCACCCTTTTGCTTGCTCTGAGTCAATTCACACAGCCTGAAATCGAGCCAGCCCATGATCAGAAGTCCCCAGGTGACTGCAGCAGCTGTTAGCTGTGACAGCTGCTGCAGTCATGGGTGGATCCCTCGCTCCCAGTCTTTGATAGCTGTGCCAGAGCTGCTGTCAGTGCTGCTGTCAGTGGTCCCCCAACCCCTCTCCTCTACGGTAATGCTTCTTCTGGTAGCGAGTTGGCCTGAGGAAGTTGCCAGGTTGCCTCCTCTTCTTTAGCACAAGGAAAAGCCTGTGCGTAAACCGTGAGACGAAACATATCAATTAAAAAAAAACTGGCTTGTTTTGTAACTGGGTGTGTCCTGTCTTTGTTCTTGCAGGCACAATGCCTAATAAACGTCAGCGGAGACGCCGTCATCTTTGTGCGCGAATCTGAATTAGACGTGCAAGTCCAGCTTCCCGCTGCCAACGGTCAACCCATGAATGCCAGGGGAGATGTTACGACATGAAGAAGCAGGAACGGCTTGATCCCACCTAGAGATCTGTTCAAAGCATCACGGCATTGACTTGTTCCTTCTCAGTCAGTTACGCTCCAAACATGAAGGACAGCTACATTTCAAGACAATCTGTTAACATCGTCCATCAAAATACATCGAGGGAAAGCCAAAGGAACCCTCTGAGGAATCCCCATGCAGCTGGAGGAACATCTGTGTGGTGGCCACGCTTAAAATCATTCTCAAAATCGAGGTCATCGGGCGGCTGCCGGGTGGTCTGTAAGGCCAGGCCAAAATCTTTAAGCACTACCCAGATCCTCAGATCGGGGTGGGGTGGGGGGGAGGGTTTATAATGCAACTGGAATATAACTGAGGACTCTCTCACTCTGCCTTCCGATAAAGGAAGAGATTGGTGAGCTGCTTGGACATACGCACTGCCAAATACGCAACATGCGCAGCGGATAGAACAGTCGGAACTCTGCGGAACGAAAGGCACCGTGAACTGGACAATCCGAGTTGAGCTGCATGTTAAAAATAGGCTTTTCATGTTTGTGGATTATTGACTATTTTTATATTATACATTTTTTTTATTATAAATCGTTGGATATAATGGTAAAATGACCATCTGGTTCAGATGCTGTTCGCGTTAAATGTGGTGTGTTTTTTTTGAGCAACGGCGTTAGGAAAAAAAATATCTGTCCAAAATCAGCAATTTACGATGCTGTGGGATGAAAAATAAACTCAGAACTTCATGTCTCGCAGGGATGAAGATACTAGGAAACTGGAGAAGCAGTGGTATTTTAAAGAGGCCCATCACTCACAAATGACCGCAGAGATGGTACTTGGAAGGACAGGGGTTACCGTGGGAAATGGAAATCACTTTTGACAACTCTGGAGAGATTTGATGGGGAAAACGGAATAAAAGTCTGTGGATGTGAGAAAAGTCGATGTGAGCCTAGAAAGGGGGGAGGGGACATAATGGCAGACTGAGAAGTCTTGAATGTTTCCCTTTCAGCCACTTACCTGGCGGAATGGACAAGCACCCTTTCCCATTTAGACCCCCGCTTCCCTGTTTTGCCTGGTGACTGTCTGCAGTAAAGCCTTTCAAAACTCCTCCGACTGCGCATGCGCACCTCCCCCCCCCATTTGCGCACATGGTCACGTAAGAATGCGGCCAAAATATCTCGACAACATCCGATACCGAACTTGAAGAAAATATGTAAACTTGAATGTAAATACATTACATTGTGCTTGATCTAGGTACAGAGATGATATATTGTCCAGTTCAGAGATTCCATTGTAAATGAGCATGGTGAAAATCACATTCCTATTTGCATAATAAAGAGTCTTTATTTACAAAAAAAAAGAAAATTACCCCTTCCGTTTTGTTTAGTGAGGCAACTGGGGCTGAAGTGCAGGTTGTCGTGACTCTCTTTTGTCTTCCAGCTAGCTCTCAGGGCATTGAGGTTTTGAAAACCTGCAGCGGACTTGGGTTCAAGTCCTGCCTGTTCACATCAGTGCAGCTGTACACTCCAAAATAACTGGTGGTACTATCCCACCCTGGAGCAACAAACATGACGACGTGTTCCCTGTTAGTTCATTGCTGCAAAAATTAGGCTTCTGGCCCATTAAATGTTAACAGTTTTATTGTAGCATTAAACTTTCATGGACTGGAGACCACTTCATTAGATACCTGAAGTAAACTATATATACCATCTTCATAATTCCCTCTAATAAATCTCAGGATCTGCCAGTCAATAGGGCCACACAGATAAGAGTCCTTAAGCATGTAGAAAAATACCAGTTTTACAAAAGATATCGTAAGAAAAATGGGCTGTTGAGGACTGAACGTGTGCAGACACCTTGTGAGGTAGGTGAAGCTGAGAGAGCTCTTTTGAGAACTGCTCGTGAGAGAACAGCTCTGAGAGAACTGTGACTGACCCAAGGTCACCCAGCTGGCTGCATGTGGAAAAGTGGGGAATCAAACCCGGTTCTCCCAGATCAGAGTCTGCGCTCTTAACCACTACACCAAACTGTAGTGTAGAGGAGGAAATTGATTCTTAAAATTTGTAATGTCCAGGGACAAATTGGCCATTAAGGCCGGCAGAAAAAGTGGCGATGGACTGATGGTTTAGGGGCCACCACTGCTGCAAGCCTTTGTGAGGGAGGCGGGAGCTGTTGCAAGCTGGTGGCCCCCATCCCACACACAAGCAGGAGGGAGCAGGCAGCTCTCGCCCTGCAGAATGGAGGTGGACATGCACAAGATGGCTGGAACCTTTGATGAGCTTGTTCCTTCCCACTTCTTTCTGCTGGGGGGGGGGACTATGCCAGCTCCTTCTTCCCCATTCACTGGGGGGGGGCTGGGGGTGGTCGAGGAGCTGTGCCTTTTCCAGGGCCATTTTTACCTCCTCAGCCCCCCAGTAATATCCTAGGGGGTGAGATTGTGGGTGGGATTTCCCAATCATTTCCCACTCTGTGGGCCCCTAAAGGGGCTGCGGTGGCTCAAGCGGTTAAGACACTGAACTGCATACTGGAAGGTCAGTGGTTCAGCAGTTCAGCAGTTTGAGACCCGAGTGCGGCAAGACGGAGTGAGCTCCTGTCTCTGGTCCCGGCTCCTGCCAACCTAGCAGTTTGAAATCAGGAAATTACAAGTAGATGAATAGGTACTGCTTCAATGGGAAGGTCTAGTCATGCAAGCCACATGATCACGGAAACATCTCTGGACAGCGCTGGCTCTTCGGCTTGGAAACAGAGATGAGGACCACATCCCTAGAGTCGGATTCAACTGGCTTTCGAGCAAGGGAATCCTTTACCTTTACCTACCTTTTACCTAAAGTGTGTGTATATCAAGAAGAAGATGTAGTAGAGATTGGATTTATACCCCACCCTTCACTTGATGTCTCAGAGTGGCTTACAATCTCCTTTCCCTTCCCCTCCCCACAAACAGACACCTTGTGAGGTAGGTGGGGTTGAGAGAGCTCTTTCCAGAACTGTCCTTGAGGGAACAGCTCTGACAGAACTATGGCTTGCCCAAGGTCATCCAGCAGTTGCAAGTGGAGGAGTGGGGAATCGAACCCGGTTCTCCCAGATTAGAGTCTGCGCACTTAACCACTACACCAAACTGGCTCAACCAAGTGAGGAAAATGAACAAGCAAATTCCAACGAGCTTATGTCATAACAAATATTGATGGCCGGTACTGGGTGGATTCTGACTTTTCTGGCCAACTTGAGGATTTTGGTGCGTAAGAATGCACCAGATGTTTTTGAAAGATCTCAAAGCAGAAGAAAACGGAATAATGCGCTATCTGATTTATGCTGTCAGTTTTTGCCCCTTCCCTCTCGCATAGCAGACCCATAAAGAGATTTAACAATAATCTAAAAATGGTTCCAGCGAAGAGGCGAGATGAAGAAATCTCAGAGTGGATCCGATCGATAAAACACAGCGTGAGAGAAAGAGCACGCAATTAACAGTCCTCCGAAGTCCCGCTGGAACAGAAGAACCTTCCGCTTCTTCTGGAAAGCGAAGAAAGAATTAGCCCCGTGGAGTTGGTCCCACTGTTTGCCTAATTGATATTTGTATCAAAGGTTCTGCCAGGACACAAAGAAAACAGCCCGACAGCCGAAAGCTACTTTTCCCTCGAGGGCCTGCGGAAATCTACCAGTCCCATTAGTTAATGGGACGTTGTTTGTTTATCATCCATTATACTCCCGAACTTCCTTTTCGTTTTCCCAGCTGGGTTTTAATAGTGGCAGAAAAATGCAGGGAATGGCTCTTTTCGGCCTGACTGCATCCCCAGAGCTGGATGCTAGTGAAATAAAATCGTCTCCCCGGATGGATTTTTGGGTCAGATCCATCAAGGCCCGTTCATTTGGGTTTGATTTGGGCAGCTCCGAGGCTGCTGACTTTCAAGGCAAGTTCTTCTCAGCTTCCTTGGTGTGATATATTAAGAATGTATTTACAAAATGTGTGGTAGCATAGTATAGTGGTTACAGCATCAGCCCCAGATTTAAATCCTTACACTGTCATGAAGCTTCATGGGGGAGCAGTCACACACTCAGTTTAACCTGCCTCTGAAGTGGTTAGCTGTTGTAGATTTTCCGGGTTGTATTGTAGGACCTGATGTTTTGCCAGTAGCTGTGACTGGCATCCTCAGAGGTATAACAGAAAGATGGAGTACTCTCTGTGTCAAGATGAGAAGCAAAATCGTAGGCAGGTAATTATAAATAGGGCATGGTTACCTGTCCTGAAAAACACAAAAGGCTCTACATCTGACAATAACACTACAGATAAGATTAGAATTTCAACAGCCAATCCACATGTAAAAGAAACTCCTCAGGAAACCTCCTCAGGAAACAATCCATATCCAAAAGAACCTCCTTAGGAAACAGCCAATCCATATACAAAAGAACCTCCTCAGGAAAGTTCCTCCATTAGTATGTTCACAGCCTGGGGAACTCCTACAAAATAATGACTCAGCCCTACCTTCCTGAGTAAATATAAATTAAAGTGGCGCTACTTGAGTCGGCGTTACATCCTTCCTCAGTGATGGAATCTGAGAGACCATCGACGTTGACGGCTCTGGCATCGAGGCCCTCCTCCGACATCGAAGCCACCGGCATTGAAGGCGCAATCCTCCGCTTCCACTCGGGTGAAGAAGAGGGCCAAGTCAAGTAAGGAGCATAAGTCCTCAAAAAAGGGCTCCTCTAAGTCCCTAAAGGCGGCAAAGAAGGGGAAGGTAGCGGTGTCTGCACTGGGTGATGCCCCTAAAGTGCCTCCCGCTCCAACAGCAGTATCGGCATTGGAGGCCCATGCCGCTCCGCCGATACCG